AGGATGGTCCCTCCTGTTATGCGGTCATCAATGACCACTTGTGGTCTTGGGTAAATATATCCATCTATCTGATACCATGTGGTCATCAATGACCACTTGTGGTTAGTTGAATTGGGAGTATATTTATTTATTGAGAATGGTGAAAATTTTGGACATCCTTCTCCAAGGAAAATCCCTAACTCAAATATCATGTCAATTGGTGAACTATTAAAGGAATATTTCAAAAACAGAAACAATAATCAGTGAAGAATAATAAACAGGAATAATGGAAAGATCAACCTAGTTGTGTAATGAGTAAGCAAACCTGAAATTTTGACATTATTTCAAAAATATGATAGAAAAATCATTCAGCTGGTTTCAATGGAACACAACAAAGTACACAGACTGAGAAATCAAAAGAACCAATTGACTCACTACTCAGATAAGCCACTGGTGACAAAACATGTTACCAGTCAAACCAGTTGTAACTTGACAAATTTTATGAGATTATATAATGTTTGGTAGAATCCCTAAGAATCTTGTAAAGGAATGCCAAGAGACCCTGATACACTACAACCAAAGGAATATAATGACCCACCTTTTGACCTTTGGCCCAATCAATACTAAAGATGGGAACTGCAATTAGCTGCAATTCAATTTTCATATGTCGCAACTACAACCACAATTCAATTTTTATATGCCTCAATTAGTTGCAGCTAATTGAGGAGTCATCTTTGGATGTGAATGCTGCAAGAAATATAAGAGACATTTATAAATTTATGTGTAAAAATGAAGGGGAATGACCTTCACAATTTGTTAGGTCATAATTTATGTTATTAACTTATGGACGTTGTGGGGATTTCCTAGTAGGGTTTCTATTTGAATAAGGTTTATTCGAATTATTCACTTTATTCATTATGAATTTGAGTATTCGAATTACATTGAAAGTTTATTTGAATAAATTTTAATTCAAATAAAACGAATAATTTGAATAAGAAAATTGATTTGAATAAGGAAATTAATTTGAATAAGAAAATAATTCGAATAAGAAAATTGATTCGAATAAGGAAATTAATTCAAATAAGGAAATTAATATTAATTGAATAAAGCAAATAATTCGAAAAAATTAATTCAGATAAAACAAATAATTAAGGTCCAGTTTAAATTCAAGCTCACTGGAAAGATTGCTATTTATTAAAAGAAACATGAAT